TCGTTCTCTATATGACCTTATAGGGTTTGTCAGAGTCTTTCAATGAGTTCTTCAACGCCGCTTCGAGTATATTCAAATGTAACAGGTAGAGCATAATTCTTTCTGTCAGTATTCAGCCATTCTCTCTCTTTTCAGTGAACTTGTCGAATTGGTACCTGCCATATCCACAGAAGATGTGAACAAGGTTCGTTATGATGGAGGAGAGATATCAAATGAGAAAGTGAAACAAGTTCGAAGGTCAGTTTGATATGTTATGAATTCAAGTGATTCGAATTATTCAGATCCCTTGGTGCTTCTCCACAACGTAGAGTAAAAGATCGAAGAAAGAGCGCTCCTTTTAAGATTCTCTGAATCATGCTGATGCTAGTCTTATCTTACCTATGCTTCACTAAGTTATTCATTAATAGCCATCACGTATACGGGTCTCATATGGAAGTTATACTTTACGAAATAAATAATTTGCAACTGTCTATGTTTAATAAAACATCTCCAATTGTCATTTCCTGTTCTTTCCCCATAGTAAGTAAGTCAGTCTTTCTAATCACATTGTAATCACATGTAAGAATAACAAAGTATATTCAATGTTGAAACATCACAAGCATATGAAATCATATCATTTCGAATGAGAAGAAGAACAAGAGGGTTAATCAATCGGAACTATTTATTTATTGTAAGTAATAAGAAAATAATAATAATATTTTACAATTTTTGTCTCAAAACGTCAAAATCTCGAAAGTTTTCTCCGAAATTCATATTATAAGAGAATATGTTTTATACATAATATTTGATTTACAACCGGAATAGTTTCTTTGTAGTTAAAAGTTCAAAAGAAAAGATTTCCTTCAAAGACCTTTCATTTTCTCCAAGTTTCTATTCAATTTCTCACATTTGCCTGTTTTGCTGCTGAGCAGCAATCATTTCATTCAATGTTGGTGATTTCCGTTGTTGACTAGCAAATGGGTTTGTGGGAGCAGCAGGTTGATTATTCAATAGAAAAGGATTTGAAGCTGAAACAATAGCTGCTTGAACCAATCTGAATTTCTCTGAGACATACTTGATAACGGGTTGCTTGAGGTTGTTCCAAGGAGATTGTCCAAGTTGACCAAACCACTATTCTCTCCCAAAAAGTGTTCTGGGGTTTTACGATTGTTTGTTCCAAATACTACAGCGTTCGATGACAAGACATCTGATCTTGCGTCCTGAACCTTCTGATTAAGAAAATTATAAACATTCTGGAAATTTTACGTTTGGTTTAGTTGGTTGAAGAAGGTCTCTCTCCCATGCACTGAATGGATCTTCAACAGCATTGAAAGATGCTCCATTCAGGTTACTAGTATTAGCCACAGCAGGATTTTGAGGAGGCAACGGAGGAGGTTGAGAAGAAACAACTGGAGCCCATGGATCGGAAACTTTAGAAATATAGATTACAGTTCATGGTCGTTCTCTTACGAGCTGTTGAAGTAGAAGTTTCAGAAGGCATAGCCCAAGGATCGGCCTGTGCATATGTTGATTGCCAGCTTGATCCTGGGTCGTTGTCGACCGTTAACTACAATCAAGAAGGTAGAAATGTATGTTAAGACAGGAAATTACTTGTCCGAGTCCTAGCGAAAGAAGATCATCCAATGCACTCTGAGTGAGCTTCTCTCCTGTCACTGTTTGATTCCTCGTTCCAGCTAATCGTTCAGACTCTTTGCGTGATTCTTCTAAAGCTAACTGAAAAGGACACACATGGTTCAAATTCAAGGGAAAGGGAGATAGTCACCTGTAATCGAACTTCATCACTCTTTGTCATTTCATCCATTTTCTCGTGTTCTTCTTTTGATAGAGCTAATGCTATTTGGAGTTGCATCTCTTCCTCACCAGCGGAAGTTGGACGAGCATCGGATAAATCTGTAAAGGATATATTAAAAACTTGATACCGTTAAAAGATGATCCTACCAGATCTGTTTTCGGGCGTTTGATTCCAATCCGTTGTAGAATAAGAAGATCCTTGCTTGAATTTATTTCTAGTTTGAAGGAACTTCTGTCGTTCTGTGTTCAATCGATCATCATCAGCTAGTAGTGTGGTGATCTGTTTTGCCTTCTGTCGAATATTCAATCCTTGATCACGGTTCTCCTCCATGTGTTGAAAATCTTTCAAAGTTTCAATAGTGAAGATGTTCTCTCGACAT